CAAAAGTTGATTTGTTTTTTAAACTAACAAAAGTGCAGGACAGGTGACTTTTATGTTTAGATAAATATTCCAACTAGTAATGTGAAAATGTTATCAACTTACTGGCGTTTTATATGGAACCCGTACTGTACTTCTACTAACGGATATCTAACAAATTCGGGTGTACGTAATATTGCAGAATATCTTCCCAATGGTGAGAATCAATGTAATGCCTCTATAATCATCCACAGTTCCCCAATACCACAAACTCAAAGGTTTGGAAAATGTCACAAAGAGTTGCGCTAGACTTGCATACAGTTCCTTGTTTAGTTGTTTTTGTTTGTTTTTTTCAATAAAATAATGTTTTATGGGAGTGTATAAATGGCAAAAGCCGAATTACCGAAATTCTTTTATTTTATTTTATTTTATTTTATTTTATCAAATTTTAGAGTGATTATTGAAATGTCCTTGTGTGTTAAATAAGACTGGAAATACTTGTACAAAGAATCAATTTCAAATTACTTTTACTAGTGTATATATCTTTGTATTGTTTTGCCCCAAATTATCTATGTGAAAGAATCGAATTTTATGTACCTAGTCGTAGTTTAAGATCTGAATCGAAGTTTCTTATTAAAACTCGTCAGGTGTGTAGTAAAAAGTCCAAGGTGTTATACAAAGACCGTGCTTTTGAAAATTTAGGTCCTAAACTTTTTAATGAATTACCTCTGTCTGTTCGTTCTAGTCCTTCAGTAGACATTTTTAAATCCAGACTGAAAACGCACTTATTTAAATGTGCTTTTAATATTTGACTGATTGTTTATTGTATCACCGCCTTTGATCTTCATATGTTGGAATTGTTGCGCTTAATTAAATAAAGTTATTATTATTATTATTATTATATTGATTCTTTAATTTAAAAAAATAATGAAATGTTAATTACCCAACCGAAACGGAAACAGAAACCAAGAAATAACTCCTTTTCCTCATATGTCCGCAATGTTAACCTTTCTCAGCCATTTCAAACTGATTATTTTAACAAACTTTAATGTAAGTAGTGTTCTCACTATTCATACGTTTAGGCAAATAATGCGTGTCAATGTAAATGTGTGCGGTGAATACCTCACTACTATGCATGAGAATTGGATTAACTTCAGAGTCAAATATCTAAAGACAAACTACTGAAACAAAATGCGATGGATTTAATACCATGGATCGGTACAAGATAATCTCAATTCGACTTTCA